GCTCACATACCTAAGGCGCGGCCAGCTAGTTCCGCGCGCACTATAGTAACAAACGATTCCACATTTTCTCACTGGGACTAGAACTGGGGTCTTCTTATCGTGTCGATGGCATTTACTGAAATGCTTGCCATCGCGGTCCAAGGATTTGCCAATCGTCGTACGGCACTCGCCGGTTGTCGTCCAGGTGCGCCAGGTGCGCCAGGCGTACAGGAAAGGAAAAGCTTTCAGAGTTACTACTAGTAGCACAAATAAACGAGTGTAAATAATTTTTCACCTCACTAGCTTGAAAAGGCTTTCTTTCTCATTACAAATCTGCGAAAGCGTTTTTTCCACGCCAGCGTGAAAATGGTTTTCGAGATTCTAACTTGACGACGGACTGCATCTAACTTTTTCTTTCGATGAAAAAAAAGGTAATGACACGTTCAACCACGCCATTTGTCGTACATTACTTATTTATGTAATGTAAATCCGTTGGTATATTTTATTTTATTATTGTTGACATTAAATTGGCAATGATAATTAATTGCGTCTGTTAAATTATTATTTGATTCGTCGATGTGCTAAAATAATTTTAATAATCACTTAATCACACAATATTATAACAAGTAAGAATAAAAAATGTATGAAGTGTAAATTCAGAACGCATCCGAAATAAACTTTTTCTTTTGATAAAAAAAATCATGTTCTATAGTTCAAAATGTTGAGTAAAAATGGCGGGTTTTAGTAGTTTTTTACACGAATTAATTTTTAGTTTATGTATATTACGTTGTTTCGTTTCTTGGTTATTTGTTACCGTTAAGCTGATGGCTCTGAAGCCAATGCTTTATAAATAAATAAATAAAAATATAGTTCAATTGTGTCTCTTTCATCTACCATTTTCTTCGCTATAGTGAAATGAAAAGTTGTGTTTCGCTCGGCAGCAAGGTTGTTTTGCATCTCGTGTTTTGGAACCCTCGCCACACTCGAGGATCTATTTTAGAATCACTCGCTTCGCTCGTGGTTCAATCTTAGCTTCTTCCGGTCGCTCAGGTTTCAATACGAGCACGCGTCGAACATCAGTTTTCAGTGTTGCGTAACAAACGACTATCGTGGAAAGGAGCCGTAATAGTCGATTTTATATACGCTTTTTAGAAACTGAAGAGATATATAATAATTGCCACAAGAAAATAAGGCTCGTTTCCGCGTAGACGAATTTTATCAGTTCGGGTTTCGTTGCGCAGGCGCACCGCCGGCGAGGAGGGCTCCGAGGAGGGCCGCAAGCTGCTCATGGTGCAGTGCAGAAACGAGAGGACGCAACAGGTCGGAAATTAGACGTATTGTAGGTCGTCTTCGACCGCATCGAGCGCCGTCGACGAGCCGGCCCCCCGTCGGCTCGAACGAAAGAGGTCAGGTTGCGCGGCGAGAATTTCGATCAGACGCGGAACGCACTTTTGAAAGCACTCGCCGAACGTCGGTCGCAATAGAACCGCGCGGGGCTGCTTGCAGAAGTTCCGGTACACGGCGGCGCGCCAGCTGCTGCACCTGCGCTCGGGGCTGTGCGTGGACGCGGGCGGCGAAGCGGGCGCCGACGCGCGCGCCGCGCCCTGCCGCGCCGGCCGCGCCGCGCAGCTGTGGCGCCCCGACTTCTGCGAGGACGACGGCTTCCGCGGCGCAGGTGAGTCCGGCCGCGCCCGCCGCCGCCGCTCGGGCGACGGGCCGCGACGACCGAGGCGCCTGCCGCAGGCGCCGCGCTCGCGAGGTGGACGCGGGCGCACCCCGCCAACCCCTACCTGCTCGGCGAGTACGTCGACGACGCGGCGCCGGCGCCGGGAGCCGGGACGTCGCGAGCCGAGGAGTCGCCGGGCGAGGGACCGCAGGCGGAAACTTATAAAAAAATGCTAAAACGATTTCTGTCTAACCTAAACCGTCTCGACAAACCGCCGGACCGGAATCGAAAGTCTCGGAGGCCGGCAGAACTCCGGCTCGAGACGAGCGGGGACCGTGAACATTAATTTTGACGTCACTGACGATTCGGGCGTCGACCGGTTGACGCCGCGACGGGAGCTCGGTAAGGGAACGGTAGTAAATTTCACGTACGAGAATTGTCTCGATCTTCCCGGGGAAAGCCGCCAGCCGAACTAGCGACGGTTCTGAACCGTTTCATATTTTCGAGGGCAGTCGGTTTTCCTATAAAATGAAGCCGTATTGATATGAACACCTCCGTGGCTTGTAATTCCCTATTAATGAACCACGGTCGTTTGCATGGAGACGTACTACTGCTCTCTTTTATTATATTATGATAACCACCGTATCGTTTCAGGGTATTTAAGGTGCGTTTACACTAACGCTGTAGCGAAACGCGCAGATTAATCAATCAAATAGGTAATTCGGTCATGTTAAGCCATACTAAAGTATTTTTTTTTAATTCTGTGCGACGGCAGTAACTGTCGCAGTCTCTTGCCAGTTCTACTAAAAAATAAACGAATATGTGAACGTACGCGGAATGTTAAACGTTTGTACGAGTACTCTTCACAGCAAATGTGAGTTCATTTGTCATAAGTATCCCTAAAAAAGCGGTAGCAGTTTGCTAAAAACGGAGTCCCTTTTTCGGCCTATTCTGACACTTGGTTAACAAATATTGTTTTAAACACGGTTTTGTTTTATTGTTAAATACTATCTTAAAAGGAAATGTATTCTTTTCTAAGTTCTAACCACGCGGATGAAGTCGCAGGCAAAAACTAGTGAACCCATTATTTGTTTTTTTAATTCGGAACTTATTCACGTATAAAAACGTTTATTGTATGTATAATAAATGTTATGTTACTTACATAATACATAACTTATGTATTTGAATTACCTCGACGTTTTCGACGTATTGCAACGTCCATGGTCTCGAAGGGACTGAAGAGACGGGTGTCAGCATCTTCTAGCCGTGCAAGTACTATCCGCACTTGATCTTTATTAATTATTTGTGCGCTAGGGTTCTCACTAGACCGACAACACTCACGACATCCTTGAAATATGTTTGTATACGTGATTAAGTCCCGAATTAAAACTCAAATAATGTGTGAAAATCGTGACAGTTTAAATCAAAGTATTCAAACCCATATATGTACGTACGATTGCCGGACACGCGTTTGCTCTATGGAGTTCTTTCAATAAATGATGACTGCCAATAACGTCAGAACCGTAATCCATGATAACGTTCTATTACAAATATCCCAATGTGTGTATACCGGCGGGCCCTCATTGGACCACCCGCCGCGCGCCGCCCACGCTGATTGGTTAGTCCATCCGTTATTGTTTCGCTTCCGTCGAGGTCGAGCACACCCTATGTGAAATTTGGTTTGATATTACAATCGTAAGATCGTTTTCTTGTCTTTTTTTCACTCCTTTTTATTTCAAATACTCAATCACACCAAACTTAAGGAACAAAATAGTAGTTTATGTGACTGTTATATAATGAAAGGCATTAAAATATGAGTGAGGGTCTATGAAATTAGAGCTGACAGGCGAGTTTCACGGCTCGCCTCTTAAAATCATCTCACGAGTGTTTTACTGCCTAATTATGTACTACACACTACATACACTGCTTTATTATCTACACACATAAATATTATAAGCTCTCTGTGATGTATTCAGGAACCGCATGTCACTGGCGAAATGGCGGCAAATAAAAACTTTTCTCACGCATGTCACATAACCGTAATTTTTATTTTTAATTAATAGACAAACTAGAATTGGCCCCAACTATTATATCGTTCGATATCAAGTAACGTGTGAAATTGTCAAAATTGTTTGCTATTGACATTACATTACGAATATAACTTCATCTCGACTGGTATTAGAATTGAGGTCCATCAAATTGTTTTGCTTTTCAGAGATGTTCGAAATTTTAATGTAATAATAACATCCAGTTCGATGTTAATATGAAGCAATAATAACATTTTCACAGATAAACTGCCTCCGTGGCCGAACGGTTACCATGCCGGACTGCCACGCAGAGGTCCCAGGTTCGATTCCCGGGCCGGGAGAAATAGTTGTATGGCCTACAATTATTTATCTCGTGAGTTTGGGTGTAATTTGTGGTTGTCTATGTGTGTGTCCATGGCACCCGCGACACGTTGAGTGTGTGCATTATTATTATTTATTTTAAAAAAAGATAAGAAATTTGTACTAACAAAATAGTTTACTTTTAGCTGGTCGTAATTTGCGGTTTTTGAACACATTATACAGAATATGTGTGTAGATAAATAATATATATGTGGCAAATGCTTGGTGAAATTTTATATCTTGAGGTCCTATAAATATTTTCTTCCGCGTCAGTTTTGTTTTACATTGAAATTCATTTTATTTTTGCGTTAAATGAGTGCATTTTCAATCACTGACCCCCTAGAGGGAAACGAAGATTTTATGTAGACACTCGTGCAAGAATTTGCACACTTAGCATTTTTTACTATGAGTGTAGTTCACCTGTCAATTAGCCTTTTTCGAAACAACTTTTAGGTACGCCTCCGCACAAAATTTCGCCTTAATCGGTCCGAGAAAGCGGACGTCAGTTACGAGTTATTTAGAATTAACCATGGAACCTTCAAAAGTACGTCTTGTGTCGTCGCGATTGTAAATGAGATAGTGAGTGAAATAGTGAATCCCAAACTACTGGTGGTACGGAGAAACCATTTTGTCTGTTCAAATTAGGATGCTTTTCTAATTCGGATGACCTCTCACAACATCCGGAGCAGAAAACAGAGTTCTTCTGCAAGAGTCTGGGGTGTTTCAAGTTAATTGAATGTGTAGGTTTATCCATTACAGCCTTTTGTACGCGACGGTGCTTGACATCAGCTATATGTTCTTCAACGCGAGTCTGTTCACTATAAGAGAGACGGCACTCGCACTTTCAGATTGCTATGAGGCGCCATTGAAATTAACTCGTAACTGGTTGAAGTCAGTCGTGATCACGAGACCTGTAAAGAGCCCGTACCGTTGTTTTGATAGACTTAAATCGGAATATCGAAATCCGAAATAATTCATTTCCAGTATGTGGCCTCAAAACAGATTTACAGTAGTATGTACTGTATCATCATCATCGTCTAACGAAATGATTTTGGCCACAGTTCGGTACGCTGGCCCAATGCCGGTTATGGACTTTACGAATAAATTTGTTTAATAAAAAAATAAAACACCCTTGATATTACGACATACATTACGTAGTTGTCAAGAAACGGAGTAGAAGACGCAATGAATCGATCCTGGGAGGCGCCTGCGCAAACTTGTGGTCAAGTATTACATGTATATAGCCGTCGTTTGTGTGCTCTTATGTGCTTATTTACAAATGTATTTTGGCATCTTAGTGACGTAGATTTAGAAAGACGTTTGTGTGTGCTCCCTTTGATTACGCGGTTGTCTGATGGCCTCTGACGAACACTGTGGCAGTGACGCACCCGACAATAAGGAGACACCACACTTATCGCCGCGGATTCGGCTTGAGTTTGTTGTACCTGCTGTTTTACCACACTTGGCGCATTACAACCGATTCGCCGTAAACGTAGCCACTCGGGCTTCAATGCTGCCGTTCCGTCGTCTGCGCGGCAGGTTCGTTGCGGACCTGTGTCGTGTACGCACCGATACGAAACGTACCACGTCTTTTTCGCTGTAATTAAGCCTAATTACAGCGAAAAAGAGCAGATGGACTGCACGTCTCGTTAATGCGCGCAATCGTCATCAAAATTCGTATGGACTTGGACTGCGGTGCAGTCGAGATTTCAACTGCAATCGTCGGCTGAAGTCAATGTGAACGATAGTCTGAGAATCAGAAGTGGCAGTTGACATAATATATGATTTTTTTGTCTGAAAAGTCTTGATATTATGTATAGGCGGGGATTAGTAACGTGAATTTGTTGGCAAAATTGAAAATTTCGATTATGATATGTTTATTTCATTGACAGAAAATGTAGTCAGCGTTTGGAATCATAAATATTCTGAATACATAGCGTAACATCTTCAATTTCGGCATCAACGAAGACACTGAGCTCCTGAGATAGGCGCGCGGCGGTAACTGCTTGAAGTCGGTTTATATCGGTGTATAGAGTTAGTTGTACATATCTGCCGTCCACTAACTAAAACGCGGCTAAGTGTCAAATGGACAAATATCCGTTTAAAATAGCAAAAGAAAGTGCACAATTATCCTTTAAAAACTGTTAAAATTAGTTAACGTGTTCCACTTATCGAAACTTACCCTAACGATGCGTAGCTGAAATACTATTAAACAATTTCAATATTCCAAAACTGGGTTATGGTTTTTTATATCTCAAAAAATGATTTTGTCACTTAGCCGTCTGCCGAAGCAGCCTCACGCGGAGATACAGCTTTTTGAGGTGTGATGCGACTTCGTGTCGATAGGTGTGGTGGCTCCGTGATGTAAATAGTTCGTGGTTGCTTTTGCGTGTTTATATTCTACGTAGCGGTCCCTTTCAAGCAAATTTAGGACGTGGGGATAAATCCAAAAGTAATAAGGTGTTGTTCTATAAATAGTACGGCATAACAGACATCGAAATTACACTCCTCTCGTGCAGTGAGTAACAATTTTAACAATTTGACAGTAAACGTTCTCTTCAAGTTGCGATAACGAAACGATTAAATAAATATTCGTATGAAAGTAATTATTCGCGACGATGCGCTGCAACGAGTTCGTCATTTATTGGTTATTGTTATAATAATAATAATAACAACGCACACACTCAAACGTCGCCCCGCACTAGGGAAACTCTGTGTTGCGGGTGTCATGGACATAGACAACCATAAATTACACCCAAACTCACGAGAGAAATAAATGTAGCCCATACAAATATTCCTCCCGGCCCGGGAATCGAACCTGGGACCTCTGCGTGACAGTTGCATGGTAGCCGTGCGGCCACGGAGGCAGTATTCTACACAAGTTGGACTTGTGTCCGCTCAGCCGCTTTCCGAACCGATTTAAACACTATCAATATATATCGTAATAGTAATATACAATACTTTTTTTTGCAGCAAGGAATTTACCTTGAATTTAAATTTGCTCTCTATTTACTCGGTTTTGTTTGTAACTTTGTGTGGAATTGGAAATGAAAAGTGACTCATTACTTGTTAATAGAACTATGTAGATGTTACGGGTTGTCATCGTTACTTACTTCGTTCGGTACAGGTTCCGAACTTGTAAAAACAAGCGCCGATACCGTTCTGTGGCACTTTTAAAGCCTTGCGAAAAAGGTCCAAGTTGTGGTGCACACTTCACGCTGTATGCATAGTAACATATAGAATGACACTTGTTCTGGGCACAGTTAGGTACGACGTCATTTGATACCTGGCGCGCACGAGTGTGGGCTACGGTAGCTTCTGGGGACAGGTAGGAGTGGCCGCACACGTGCTGACTGGTCGTTCGCGTTTGCGTGTTGCAGGTGACGGTGCGCTCTCCGAGCAGCAGCTGGCGCTGCAGAAGCTCCGCTCACAGCGGTCAGTACCTCCACCAACACATAGGTACCTCTCTTTCGCACTCGCTGCCATATCTGCCCGTCTCGCTCCCGAGCTCGAACAGAGTAATAGTAGTGTTTTTGTTTCTGCACGAACTGGTATGTGATCCCGGATAATTTTTTTATTCGTCGCAAGGAATTGCAGCGGTTCTTTTAGTGGAACTAGTGAAAACAGTGGACCGAATAAAGACGATCGATCAATCGTCGTTGTTCGTGTGTTGTCGCGCGACACGCGAGCGGCACACAGATGCGGCGTGTGCATTGGCACCAAGCGCCGACTGAAGCTATGCGATGTGGGCCCATATTAGTTGTTCCTCGTATTATTACTCTCTACTTTTAATTCGCTTTTACTTTCTACAACTAAATAATTATTCTGTCGTCTTCTATAAGACAAATTTATTTAGACCTTAACTCTGCAACAAAATACAAAAAGAGGCTTATGTTCTGATACAAATGGACTCGCGAATGACGCAAGTGCATTCTGCTATGAATGTTAGCGTTTTTGGTCACGATAGGTAATCGGAAACACGACTTAGGCCACAGTTGTCGAACAAAATGGCTCGTCACTGGTTGACAGACGTGCACATGAGACGTATTCGGTACATGATAATCTATAATTTTAGACATTTACTGACATATTTTCAAGTATTTATATGCGCAGGCGCCTTTCGCGGTCGCTCATGGCCTACGACGAGGAGAACAGCGAGCGGCGTCACTCGCGCATGAAGAAACGACACAGGAAAAACAGGTACAGGTAATAATATCTCTATTCACGTAACCTTTTTTTTCTTCTGCGAGTTGAGCCCATGCACACGGCGTATTTTATACACAACGACACCGATATACTTAATTTTGTTTGTTAAATTCAGTTCATTCTTGAAATGAAGCAACTACATGAAATTCTATGTAAGCTTCTTCCTTTTTTTTAATGCATTTCAGGAAGCACGGCAAGATGAAGCGCTCGCACGGGAAGATGAAGAACAAGTTTATCCTGAAGCTGGAGCGGACGCTCGCCAACAGGACCCCGGAGCACCTCGAGGTCGACATCCACTGCAGGCACCAGCGGCTCTTCCCCAACAACAGCTTCGTCAGAGACCTCGTCACGATACTTAACGACAAAAACATCAAGGTAAGTGGCCCATCTGATTATAAAGTGCCACTGGACGCGGGCCTCCACGACGCGTTGCTACGTTTGGCTAGAGGATCCCCTCTAGCCAAGCGTAGCAACATGTCGTATTCGTCGTCGTCGTATTGTTCGTCGCAACAGCTATCTAGCTGTCGCGATGAACAATACTTAACTCCCAGTTTGGAGGTATTCCCTTCCGAAGCCTATTTGGGCCAGCCTAGTGTGCGTTGTACGTACGCGGTACGCACGCGTCGGACACGGACAGTGCGTTAACGAAAATTACAACGAACTCTGCACCGTACATGACTTAAGAGAAGCGTTTCCAAACAAATGTTCACAAATGAAAATAGCCGTTACCGCTTCAGTGGGCGCGTCCGACATGCGCTTTACTAGTTTTTGGGCAAAATTTGTTATATATTTGTATTTACAATTTAATAATAATCACGCACATATTCAAAGCTCCACGCTTGGGAAACTACATCGGCAATATCATATTTTAGTCCCCAATGGTATCCCATGTTGTTATACACCGGCGCCGGCGACCACGGCTGCTGGCGGTGCCCCAAGGTAGGACAAATCTGCTCAACAGGGCGCCTCTTACTCGCACCATCCGCACACTAAATCGAGTAGCTGAAGAAATAGACATTTTTACATGTTTTCAGAGCAATTTCATGAAGCTAACGCTCTTTTTGCTTTGTAATAATTAATTAGATTGTATTGCATATTATATATTATTATCTTGTATTTTAATTTATTTAAAATTGCTTTAATTTTTATTATTTTTCTAGAATTATTATTGTTTTTAGTTTTATTATGTATTGGATTGGTATAATTATTAAGAAACGCTACACTATTGTATTGGGATGGTCCTGTCGAAATAGCTGTATGTATGAAATAAATAAATAAATAAAATAAAATAAATATATTGAAGAAACGTACATTTTATTAAATGTAAACTGCTATTGTACATTGATTATTTTACGGGCAGAATGCGTTCATAGTATTCGATTTCAACATTTTTAAAGTGTTTTGTAAAATTCTGATTCTGTGAAAGGTCTGATTTTATTGATGTATCTACTGGAGTTCCGCAAGGATCTCATCTCACATTTGAAATATACAAATGTATATCGCATTCGAGACACTTACTATACGCCGAGGATAAAAGGATATACATAAAAACTTAATCTGTTATGGACTGTGCACTTTTGCGACAAGATTTAAACAATCTCTATAAGTATTACATTGAAAACAAAATTATCGTCAATATCAGCAAGTGTCAATCTATTAGTTGCACACGTAGAAGCAAACCACTGGCTTTTTCCTATAGTTTTAATGAAGTCGTGATTGGCAGAATTAACGAAGTCGGAGACCTTGGTGTCCTGCTCGATTTTAAGATGTCCATGTCTGGGCATGAGGATGCGATTGCTGGCAGGGTTGACATTAAATGAAATAGACGCGAACACCTGCCGCAAGGTGGAGGCAGAGGAAGCTGTCACCCGAACCGGGAGGACGTGTGGTCGCGGCTATTGTATTAATACCAAAACTGTGTTTTAATTACGTTCTATTACTTACTCCCTGTGACAAGTAGACGTAATTTAGAGCTTATGATGCGCACTTGGCAACCCTCCAGGAACTTGACTGGTTACAAAGTAGTATATTTATTTTTATTTTGTTTATTTATTTCTCCACAGATATACAATTTATACTTATTCTAAAGACGTTGCCCGCCCGGGCTTCAGGTTGTTGGCAAGACAACGCTCTTTTACATTACCTAGATGTATATCTATTCTAGTTAATTCTTCATTAATTAAGTTCCATTGAATACTAGCTAATTTTCTGAAGTAAAACTGTCTTTGCTAAATAATACTAGGTATCTCTAATCATAATAATTATTTCACTAAAACATTACATCACTTAGCAATAAATTTTTTAATTTGTTTTTAACACCTTTTTATTAACCTTCATACTTTCTCTGGGCCAGTCTATTTTATTGTATATTTTTGGTATAACATATTTATCAGTTCATTTTCCATAATTATTATTACTTTATTTATTATATTTTATTTCAATGGCTATCGCAAATTTTACTTTTTTATCAACTGGCAATATTTTACATATTTTAAATAATCTTTCACAATCTTCTTTCTTCAAAGTTTTTATATTTTTCTTGGTGTTTTTTTTTAATTAAGCCATTATGTCTCACTGCTGAGCAAAAGTCTCCTCCAAAATCCTCCATTGCTCCCTGTATTTGGTGTTTTTATCTACCAAAAATTTTATTAACCTTAACTGACTTTTTTTTTAATATTCTGGATATAGGTTTTGTAAGTACGACCAAATTACTTAAACCATAGCTAATATGCTAATATGCAGCCAGTGCATAGCACACCACAAGCAACGTCCGCTTTTTGAATATTCTGTGTGATAAAATTTACTAATAATATGTCTTAACTCAGTACAAACATAATTAATATGCGTTTTCCAATGAAAATTTTAATCTATTTCCAACCTTAAGTACCTAAAATTATTTACTAATTCAATATTATCACATTTACATCCAGATTTATAATTATGCAAACACTCATACGAATGAACTACTATATTTAATACCCTCCGGTCTACCGATTTTGCAACACGGTTATGTGGCGACTGTATATGCATACATTTTGTTTTGGCAATGTTAATAATAATCCCGTTATCATGTGCCCACTTACTTACGTTTTCTAAATCATGTTGGATATTACTGGACAACTCTTGTGCGTTCTTGTGCATTTCGCTTACGTGAGATGTATATTGGAATAAGCTTGTCCGATTTGGTTACCATTTGGGTGACCAAATATGCTAAATATGCTGTACACGTGAAACGCATTGAGCGTATTCAGAAAAAAATGCTATCGTATTGAATTATAAATTCTCTAAAACTACTGGGTCATACGTCGAAAACTGCAAACATTATGGAGTGCTGACTCAGGAAGAAAGAAGACATGGGTCTTCTTTTTGACATGTTACGAGGGCGGCTCGATTGCCCTGAGCTCCTATCAAAGATCTCATTGTTCACACCGAAGCGCAGCACCGGGCATACATCACTATTTTTGTTCCTATTCATTCTACAAATTATGGCATGAATAGTGTCCTAACGCGAATCATGCGTGCTTTCAATCAAAAAAATCACGGACTGGATCCTTTTGTAGAATCTAAGCACACTTTTAAAAGAAAATTGGAAACAATTTTACTTGAAAGTATTTCAAATTAACTGAAATTTAAATTTGAATACAGTGCGGTGTACCACTTACAGAATTTGTTTCTTTTTCTTATTGCGTTTCTTTTTATTTAATAACTTGTATTTAGTGCAATCTTTTTGGTAAGTCGGGATTGCATACTTCACATCGCTTTACTTTTTTTGCTATGCTTCTTATTGTAGGTACTTTTGTGCCTTTTTTTTCCTCTTTGAGGTGTTAACTTTTGCCTTACTTTTACCATGAGACAGATAGATATTTGAAAATGAAAATGTGGACAATTGTAATTGGCGCTAACTAGCTTTACTTAACAACGTTCAATGTAAATCGTTATTAATAGCTGTTGTTGTTCCGATTAAAATAAATTAAAAATAAAACATATTGTATTTATACTTGTAAACTTCCGCAGGTGATAAACAACGGGCGGGTGTTCGAGCGCAACCGCGTCACAGAGGTCGGCAAGGACTCTCAGACCGCGAGGCAGAAGGAAACCAAGGTGACGATTGTTTATTTATGTATTTATTTATTGCAATTCGCACGTGTTAAGTAACATCACCTGCGACTTGGGGTTAAAGAATCGTAGCAAAAGAATAGAACATGTTGTACAAGCGGAAGGAGTGTGCCAAAATCGAAATAAAGGGAGATGTACGGTCTCCGCCTGCCGATTTAAACCGCGTGTTGATGTGCTGCCAGGTTCTGGAGAAGATGGACCTCCCGGGCAGCGGCCTGAGCGGCGCGCTGAACGTGGCGCCGCCGCCCCCCGCGGCCCCCGCGCCCGCCGCGCCGCAGCCGCAGCCCAAGAACAGCGTGGGTGTCTCTCGGCATCCGCCCCTCTCCCCCTCTCAGTCACGGGCACGGACGCGGGCGCGAATTCGCCTGCCCGCTCGAGCGCAGCGGCCAAATGCATTTAGGACAAAAATACACCTTCACACTTGAATTAAATCCTAAGCGAACGTCAAAAATCAATATTGCACTGTACTGTTGTAGATCACTCTTTGTTATAACCGCACAGTAAGAGTTAATCGTAATAATGCAAAATAGACGATGGCGACGCACGAACGGCGCGACCGCCCGACCGGCCCGGCGGCTCCGGCGCTCGTCCCTGTGACGGAGGGCGCGTTTACGGACCCGTCCGCAAATTTCCTACGCTCTTTGAATTCGTGGTCGTCCCCGCAGGTCGCGGGCGCGGCCAAACAGTGGCACCGCTCCAAGAAGCGTAAGCTTAAAGAGGCTCGTCAGAACGCGGCGTTGAGTTCGCCGATGGGTGTCGGGCCTTCTCCGCCAGTGGAGACCGGGAACGCCTTGGTCGCGCAGGATTCGCCTATGGACATCACCGGAGGCGGAGGTGGTGCTGATGGGGACAAGAAGATCATCATCGAAGACTTTGTTGAGGTCAAACCGAACGTCCTTAACGAAGAGCCTGTCAAGGTCAGTGACCTTTCCCTACTGTCACTATAGTCTCTCAAATTTTAATGACGCCTGCCCGACATCTTAGCATCGTCGGAAATTTAAAATTCTGAGAGCTGATTATATTCCTCTTGATCGATCAGCCATCTCTTAGGGTCGTATTCTAGAACTCTACTCAATGCTCAAGTCAGGATTTGAATATGGTTTAAAGCACTCGAAATCATACTCAAGTCCCTGCCATTAGGGTCGTATTTCCAGTGCTTGTGTTTCAATTGCAATCCTGACTTAAGCATTGAGTTGAGTTCTAGAATACGACCCTTAAAGTTGTTACCACGAGCTTCTATTTGAGATCCACGGAAGGATTCCAGCGGTGCATCTTCGTCATAATACATTGATTCATTTGCCTGAGGCAATCGCTAATTACATGCAATATTCGTTCATTTGGCGTGCGAGCAACAATTTTAACAAATTGTAACCTATTTTCATTTCGATCTATTCAACCCAAAATGGCGTCCGCAAAGAACTTACATCTCGTTCATTTTTTAGCAGTGAAGTGAGTTACCAAATGTTGTTTATTGTCACGGAAGAAAAAAGCAATGGAAGTGCGTTGATGACTATCGGAACCGTTGTCGCCAAAACTCAGCATTCACAATTTGAAACACTATGAAACCTTGAAAAGGAACAAGACTACGTTCGTTTATCTAGATATTTAAGTAGTATGTGGCTCCATTGCAATTAACTTTCCTTTTAGATAACATTTTAGGCGAATGTTTTAAATTTAAGTGACCTCTTTGGAACTTACCTATGTAAGGAAGTATGTCGTGCAACAAATTAAAATAAATCTCCTTACCGCCTGTGGCTGTAATGGGAAGGAAAAAGGCCCAAAGGTTTTATTTGGGGCATTATTGTCAAGTTAACCACCACAAATCATACTATTTACGAGCAAGTGTGCTGAAAAATATTTACATTACATACACAAAAACAATAATAAAAGAACCAATAGAACGTCAGTTCTCTCACTTTTTTCTTAAATGTATTTAAGGAATTTGCGAACATATCAACATCGATGAAATTTGAAACATAGCATGCCCTTTTTGAACGTGAGGAGATTCGTGGTACATTAAACGAGATTTTTCTGTATAAGTTCAACGGAACCAATGTTCTCGTGCAGGAGCTTGTATAAAAATATACTACCTAGGATATGACGTCTAGAAATTAGCGATTGTACGTTATGTCTTTGTACACTGTCTTCGTAGTCAGTATAGCAAAAACCAGAGCGATAGTCCAGGGACTTTAAAAGTTTCTTTTGAACTCTTTCTATTCTATCTTGATGGACAGAATACTTCCAAACTCTAAAATATTACGAACGTAAGCGTTATATAATATTTTAAGTGTACCCTAGTAAATGGTTTTCCTATGCGTAGGATCAAATCTGTTTGCTTATATGCCCTAGTCACCATATTATCAATGTGTTTGTTGAACTGCAACTTGGAATCCATTGTGATGCCCAGATCACGAATAGAATCCACGCCAGATAAGATAAGTTATGGTAGAAGCGAAGGGGATTATTTTTGCTACTAAAAGTTATGACGTAGGACTTATCCAAATTCCGAGGCCAAAATTATCCTTACAGAAACATTCGAAGGTACGTAAATGTTGCTGTAATTTCGCACAATCATCAAGTGTTATTGTGAGAATTGGTAAAACAGATGCTGACGTCAAGAACACATAATGAAAATAGAAAAGGACCGAGATTACCGAGCCTTGAGGGATGCCTGACGGAATGTTCAAGAATCTAGAGCGTAACCCTAGAGCGCAACTGCCCGGCACCGATTACTCACTAAATATTTCATTATGATGATAGAGCGATAGGGCGGTAACTGAAAGGATCCAAAGCGTCTTTACCCGGTTTCAATATGGGAATAACTACATGGGTGTTCCATTCCTCAAGAGGACGTTCTGAAAGAAATATGGCGTTGATCAGTTCTAAAAATTTCATTTTACTTGATGTCCCCGCCATTTTCAGGAAGGAATATGGGATTCCGTCCACTCCCGGAGAGGAGTCTCGAAGGTGGTCCAAAACCAGGGTCAATTCTGAGAATGAGAAAGGGTCATTCATGCGGTCTGGGGAGACTGAGCTCAAAGCGAATTAAGAAGCTTCTTCTTGACTGAGAACCCATGGAGGGTATAGCTAATAATAGAGCAGTCTCAGTCAGCTGTGGACCGTTGTTATTCCAATTTCTATTACATAGCTGTTTGCGGTAAAAGTGTGAATTTATTTCATAGTAGGTATTTATAAGACGCTTCAAGAGCAATATAATGCCCCAGGGCGCTTTTATGAGCTGAAATAAAAAATAGAAATAGCGATCTCGCGACCTACAAAAGGCATTATTAATTAGGCTAGTAATAGACGTATTCCCTCTATTGTTTCGTTAATTTCGCCCTTTGTATTAATAATTATAACAAAGTAGTGGAGTCATTTCACATAAAATATAATTGAATATCAATTCAAAAAAATACAAATAAAATGAGTTTATTATTATTATTAATAATCGACATCCGGTGAACGTGAGCAGCGGTGGTTGTGTTTCTCGTACCTTCAGCTATAACCCTGTGTTTTCTGTAGATTTTGTCGTATGGAAATAAACATGAGCGCGATGTTAACTCGCAGCGCAACAAGAAACGCAAACACAAGCCGCTCCCTCCGGGCCTCCGGCCTCCCCCGGAGCTGCCTCCCGGCCTGCTGGCTCCGGTCGCCGGCGACGCCGCCCCGCTCGACGACGGCCCCCTCTCCGACAACCTCGAGGACTTCGCGAGAGAGGACAAGCCTCTGCTGACCTTGATCAACCAGAAGCGGCCCAACATCGAAAGTCGCACCAAAGCTAAGTATGGCTCCGGACATCTTTTCCATTTATGCATTACAGCAGCCACTGGATAATTCTCGAAACGTCCGAGGCGCCTATTTGTTTTCTTTTATGATGAGGGGTCATTTTCGTCTGACAGAACGCACGACTACGAGGACGGTGACGGCCGATACTTCGACGACGCGCCCATGCTCAACAGCGAAGTCGACAAGCGCGGCGACCGCGTCGGGCCCGTCGGCACAGGAGTCGCCGACGACGACGCCGACGCGCTGGAGAGTTTGGACACCGAACACGAGGAGTGGCCTTTAGGTTAGCGTTAGGCCGTTTCGAGACAGGGTTCACTAGTTGTCGTCGGTGTTGTCTCGCGCGCGGATTTACGCTAAGGCCCAGTAGGCCCGAGCCTAGGGCTGCCAGATTTTAGGGGCGGCCAATAGTGGCATAAAATTCACTGATGATATCACAGGAATAACTCAAAGTACAAAAATATTCTAAAGGCTCACGCACATTATGGCGGGCCGCACTGCACCGCATCGTGTAACAATAATCTTCCTAAATCACTTTCGTACATTTTATGCATTGACCTATCGACAAATGGACGTCGGGTTCGCGGTAAAAAGTGTCCGCACCTGTAGGGCGTTAAAATCTCACACGTCAATCGCGTAACAGCCTTCGTTTATTCGACTGACAACGCGGTTGTCACTCTTGCAGTACCATATGATGATAACTTGCAAAAATTACTGCAGTAAAGTATAAAAACAGGGTTTTGTATCATATTTTCACTAAACAAATACATTGTGTTATCATAGTTTTCATTTAAAAGTGTTATTTTATACACTTTTATAGTATGTAATTTATATCTAAATGAATAATAAATATAAACCACACAAGCACACAAAATAATCAAATAGCTAACTGTCCTTTTTGTACACATTGTATGCGCAAAAGATGGAAAGAGGTCCATTACATCAATTTTAAAAAGTTTATAAACTTCTTGGCCATTTTCAATTTGTTCGAACCACAAGCGATTGAAATATTTAGGACGAAGAAACTATAGAGTCGCTTTGATTTTAATCTTATTTTTAATTGACCGTTACCAATAATTTACAAAATATTGTTGTAATCGTTTTACTGCTTGGGATTACCTATCAGAAGTCTGAAAATAAATTTGCCCGAAATAACGTTACCTCGAATTTTCATAATGTGAAATGTATTTTTTTAGGAATATTACAAAACAAAAGTTAATTTTGTCTTTATGAAAAGCATCAAAATTACTTGAAAGCGTAACGATTTTATTATAAATTGGTTTTCCGAATTACGGATATTTGATATTAACACATTAAGTTATAATAATATAATATAATATAAGTACATTGCTTATAGTGCACGCTTATTTTCACATTTGTATGTATGTATCTGCCCGACTCTTTATTATTTCTTTAAGCGATTTTGTACAAAATTCGACATAATAAAGAGTAATATATAAAATATAAAATTAATTAAAATTTACAATAAAGGCTATTCCATTTCTCTTGCATTCAAGTAATTTTCAGTGGAAGCGAAATATGGTGCAATTTTTTTTAAGTATCCAGTAAAAGCTGAATATGGTGTTTTTGGGCCTTTAAATTGTTGCAAGCAAAATTAGCCAGTACTGCAATGACGTTGCAATTTAAATTAAATGTTTTTGTTTTTTTATATTTCGTTACATGCCACTACGTTTGTATCGGTTAACTTCGGACTTTTTTTCGTGGTTTTTGTATTAGACCCGATGTCCATTTCTTGGTAGGTCAATGATTTTATGTATATATAGGTAATATGTCTACCAGTATATGATGAGTGCTGAGAAAGGAGTGGCTGGTACTGACTACATGGCCCGGGGCCTAGGGCAGCCAAATTTGCAATCTTAAGACTGCAAATCCTCCACTGTCCATACCACAGAGCAATAAATGCAGTAGACGTAAATATATAAAAAGCAATAAATGCGAGCGCAGTTCGCCAATTTCGCTATGCATGGTATGGTTGTGTCGTTTTTCGTGCAGATTCTCTAAAACTCTAAATGCCTTGTTGTGCTATTTCGGGGTGCACAAATAGTAGCCTCACCAAAAATGTTACCCGCGTGGTGGTGGTATTTCATATCACCGGAAAGTCTTATTTTAACAAATTTTTGATTTTCTGTTTATCGATGTTGTTTTTTTGTTACGAGAAACGAAAGTAAAGCTTGTACCCCTGGAATATGGCCGCTTCTTTTTGAAGAATTAAATTAAAAATCGAATTCTTCGTCGTTCGGCATTTAACCGCTAGATGACAGTGCATCTATTGAAATTTCAATATAATGTCAAAACGTCTTAAATTCGCAATAATCTTAGAGGATGGAAAAAAGCAATAATAGTATAATATTGACGGTTTACCACGACGCAGGTGATAGGGTGTTAGTTGTCACTGCCGCGCCATGGTGACGGAAGGTAGAAATAAATGAGACGTCGGTTGGTGAATTACTGATCGACTGATGACTGAAACTTATTTATATTATAATGATACGTGTTCTTACTGCTTTCTTTTGCTTGCACTAAGACGTGTCAGAATGTCGGAAAAGGGTTCGACATCTGGCGCGTCTGGTGGTTGCTACAAACGGCATCGAACTTTCAACGGTACGCTAGCAGGGTTAAGTTTAAAATATATTAACAGTCCAGATTTTGTTACATCTTTTTAAATTTGAAAGTACGACTGATGAATATCAAGATAATATTAATAATATAATAATTAGATTTATAATTGTTATAAGTTTTGTTGTAAGTGTGTGCCCCTCCCCATGAACCTCTTGGTTATGCGGGAAGGGCACTATGACCTGTGCGCGCATAGTAGCCTTACAAGTTCAGGTTTTGACCCCAGATCAGCCAGTGTCCAGGGTTGTCACAGACCTCTGTCACTTGACTTCATCCGGTTCTTCGAGAGGCTAGTACCTCGGGTTAGCCGCCCCGGGTGCACGTACAGTGCCCTCCCTATTTTCTAGATAAGTACCGGAGCTGTAGGCACGCTCACTTCCCGTTGCGCATTGCACAACTAGCGGTTGCCACCGCTTAGCCGTCGACTTTGAGTCTATTACCAAATCTCCTTATTGGTGGCGGAGCTGTAAGTCACGCTCACTTCCCGATGTCGAAAAAAAATAAACGACGTCTCTCCAGTTCCCGATAACCTAAGCGGCTGGTGGGATCGGAGGTTATCTAGCTTATCCTCTACTAGCTCTCCGGGCTAGTGCCGGAGATGTCAGTCGCAGTATCTTGCGACAATGTTCGGACATAGCTTCCAAGTTAGAGGGCTACTCGCGTGCCCCGGACTTCGCCTCGCTTCAGGCCCTCGACTAGACCGCTAGTAAGACGCGCTGGCTGCTCACGAGACAGACGCCCCGGACACATGCAAAACCGGGGCAGACAAACATGTCCGTTTCGGCAGCTAATCACGAACACCAGCGAGACCGTACCCAAGCCCGGGTTCGCCAGAGGCGTAAAGGCGTATCACTGGCGGAGGGCGCGGCCCGGACGTCCGCTGTGCCCTGGTTTTGCCGTCGAGCCCGTAATGTTTCCGGGAGACCCTGTCTCTCGGGTCGGTAGATAGGGGCTGGTTCTGGCAGCAATCGAAGCTTAAGACACTGGGTGTTTCTTCCGTGGTCGCAGGCGAGTCCCGCTACCGCGCGGGCGCCAAGGGCGCTGGCCGCCACGGGGGCCGCGACGCGCGCCGCCGCCCCGCCGCCGCCGCGCGGAGCCGGCC